GCCCCTCGCACTGTGACTGCTGGATATGGGCACCAGTGACCCACGCAACCCTGAAAAGGAAGAAGCGTGTACAGAAAATGGATGGATGGATGATAAAATATTAAACATAACTTGTAGATTTTGTTATGGGCAAATATTTAGAATTTTTATGTTAATATTGTAGGAATCTTCATGGGCAATAATGTTTCTGCATGCTTGTGCAGGGGAGAAAGGTCAGGGTGGGGCAGGCGTCTGTTATCTGTGTGCTGAAAACATCAGCTGCTGCAGGACATCAGGATTCTGGCTGGCAGTTGAGAGTCGCAGCGGTATCAGCCGGCTTTTTATAGGAGCAGTCATTAAAGAGAGAGAGGGTGAGAAGCAAGCTTCATTACATAAACACAGCATGCAGCATAGCAGCAAATAGCCTCAGCCGAACGTTTGGAGTTCCCCTTCTCATTTAACAATGAGACCCACATACTTCAGAGCTCACTTATGTTTATAAAGTAAACAGATATTCTGCCTTCTGATTGATGGAGGCTAGAAACCTTTAGCTGCAGGATGTTAAATTACAAAAAGGCAAAAGAAACTAGAAACATGAATGAGCAGTGAATACTGAGTGATGAATCACTTTGCTGAAAGTTACTGTAGAAATGAAAAATATACTGAAGCTAAAACAAACACATCAGCTAAAAAGAGGGGAAAGGTAGCTGCAGAGTAATAGGAGAAAACACAAGTTACAACCTAAAAATGTCAAAACACTAATTAAAATCCAAAAGGCTAGCTTAAAAATAGCATAATGTTAACTTAAAGCTTCAGTAACAAAAGTATAACACTAAAAGCTTTAAAAAGTAACRAAAGGCCAGTTGAAAGTTGGCTCATTTGGTAGAGGTGTTATGTGTCCCTGTGATGGACTGGAGACCTGTCTCACACACTGACTGCTGGACATCAGCACCAGTAACCCCTGTGACCCTGAGCAGAAGCAGTGGGTGTAGATAATGAATGGAGGAAGAGACAGTTGAAAGGAGGAAAACTGTTAGCTAAAAGCTAACCACAGCCTGTTGTAGGTATCTCAACAACAGTCTGTAGGACTGTCCTACAGGCCTGGACGTTAACACTCCTCTGGAGGGAGCTGACAGACTGGAGACAGGCATAAACGGATAAGTTTGTCTGATAGAGCTTTAAGCAGCATTAGTGAACTGTGTTTACAGACAATACGTGGAAGTTCCTGAGTCAAGAACAAAACCAGACCTGGTTTTAATGCAGTGAAGATCAAGATCATCTAAATTGGCTTTCAACCTTTGAGCTCAGAGATTAATACAGATTAGAATAATCTGTTGATCAGATTATAATCCGGAGATGATGGAGAGGAGCATGATTCTGAAATTATTCCACTATTTGTAGATTTGCTCAGACCTGTACTCATTCTTTCTTTTGACAGAGTCAGCCTCTAAAATGCTTTTTTACTCTTCGGTTGTTTCTTAATCACAACAGTCCAAACTTTAATCTGCTGCCGCCATCTATTTTAAAATCACCTTTTATTTCACAAAATATGCTTCAGTTTCTTAGTTAAACATTCCTAATGTTATAAGTTCACTTGTAAATAAAGTTTTGTTTAGGTTTGCAACGAGATTCTGAGATTCAGTTCTTTAATTAACACTTTTCACAAGTTTTTGCTTTATAATCATCCTTTTGTCGACTTAAAAATAATAAAAATATGTTTGTTGGTGTCTCTTATTGACACCTGAGGAAGAGAATGTCATGAACTTTTTAGATTTTTGTTTAACCTAAAAAAGAACAACTGACTTTAAATTACAATAGAAAGCAGAATTCTTTAGTTTTTCATGGTTGTGCTGTGACTCATCCTCTTCTTATGAAAAACAAATTGCCAAATAATTAAAAATGTTTATTTTGCCTTTTGATTTGATTTGATGATGCATTTATTGTCCTTTATTGTCACTGTACGGAGCACAGTGAAATTACATTTAAGAACGCCCATTCAAGAAGACACACATGACAAAAACATGGGGGAACAGGTGATCAGGTCATGCAGCTACCAGCAGGGGTCGCACTACCTTTTAAAAAGAAAAACGAAATACCACAGAAGGTTAGATGAGGAGAAAAACAAAACAAAACATCAAATTATATCTACGAATTATGATTCACTGTGGTGCTTATAAAAAAACTCTACAAGCAAGAGCACATTTATTAGCCAGAGGAGTAAGTGAGTTCAGTTTTCACTGAAAATCTGCTTTATTTCCATATTACCTGCTGATGTCTTCATACAAACTGTTTTTTCTGTGTTCTTGGTTTCCACAGGAAGACGTTTGGTGCAGAAGCTGCTCTAGTTTAACATGAATGTATTTTTTTGGTGATGATAGATATTTTTGTATTAAACAGATGTTTTACCTGCTTTAACGTTGTTAAATAATGTCACTACACTGTTTGAAGTAAAAGATGTAAATTTAGCTGCCTTTGTTAGTCAATTCAACACAAGGAAACCCATTTTATCTACTGTTAGAGAAATTATTACAGACACAAAAATATTGCTCCAAACTTCACAGTTTAATTACTGAAGGCTTAGCAATAATTTGTACCATGTATGAGGATTTCTGTTTTTTTTTCTTTAACATGAACAAACAGCTGCAGCAATAGTTCTGATAATTYATGCATGAATCTTTTTTTTTGTCTGTTTTTGCTCTGTATGAGAAGATTTCTGAGTTAATTCTGTAAAATGTAAAAGCTTTATTTGTACACGGTGATTTTAAACATGTGGATCTGCTGGACAGTCCATCCTTTTAAATGTTGAAAATGTGTCACAGAAGGAAGGTGTTTTATAATGAACGCTGTCGTTATTTGACAAAGATTGATGCATTTGGTATAAGTGCAGTTTGATCTATAGAACAGACTCAGATGGAAGAAAGTTGAAAGTCAAAAGCCAGAGTTGATGAGTTCACCTCCACGTCTGAACGTCTGCACTCTCACTGCACGACTAAACAGTTTTATAAAAGCAGACAAGTTCTGTCCTCGTCCAGCAGACTGAGCATGATGAGGAGAAGTAACAACCAGGCAGATATCTGTGCAGGTGGTCCCACACAGGCTGCTGCAAAACGCCACCTGCAGGAACATAAATTGCTACATGATGGATGTGAAGAGGAAACATGGTGAGACAAAGAATCAGCAAAAATATTAAGATGTTTGTAATTTTCTTACCCTTTAATTCCCCCCACCAAATAATCCTCATCTTCACTTGTTATTTTGAAACCACTGCTGAAGTCATCAGCTCACCATCATCGTCTTGTTTTGATGATGTCATGTTTCTTGCTGTTTGGCTCCTGAGGATTGTGGGTAATTCTGATGGGTTTACTCATAAACTCATCCCCAGTTGGACTGGAAGCTGTGGAGTTTCTGGGACTGTACTCTAAATGTCTTAAGTCTCTGAACAGGGACTATTATTACAGGGTGAATGGAAGTAGGGGCGCTGCAGAGGCTGGTGTTTGAGTGTTTCTGAAGAAAGCTGTGAGTGCAGACTGATAAAAGTATTTATGGACATTAAAAAATGAAAACTTGAGCTGTGTGCTTGTTGTTTTGTCTTTAAAACAAACCAACAGAAGCCAAGTCTTGTGTCCTGGTTTGGAGCTTTATGAATAAAACTGTACAGATTTCAAATGATGAAATGTTAAAACTGTCATTCAATGTGAAAATGAAATAAACAATTCAGCCTTTTTTGCAAACTTGTTTTATTGTTTGCTGCTGAACTGATATGAAGAAAGTTTCAGCCTCAGGGTTTCAGTCAGGTTCTGGACTCTGAACTGTTGCAGCACCTTGGTTCTTTTCTTTTTTTACTTCAACTCACATTCACTTAAATTTTAGTGGTCTTACCTCAGTGTTAAAACAAAAATGAAAAGCCTAATATTCATTGAAAGAATGCAAGTCATCCAAAAGTGAGTCAGTTATAGATACACATCCAGTATGTACATCCTGAAAGCTTTATTAAAGTCCAGTCAATGGCTCAGAAGATATTTTGCTGATCGACAGATGAACACAGAAACCGTCAAGCATAATCAACCTTCTGTGGTGGGTGATCGTGCAAAAATAAGACCATGTACCATTTCATGACTTTTATCAAACTGAGGGTGTGGAGGATTAATCTGAACTCTTCCAGCTGTCAGTTCATCTGTGTTGAGGTGAGTTCTCCCTGAACACCTCTGAGTGTAAACCTGCCTTCTCATCGCTGCATACTGTAACTAGGGTGAAGTGTGTGTGTGTGTGTGCGTGCGTGCGTGTGTGTGTGTGCGTGCATACAGGGTCTTATTACAGGGCTGTAACTATATCCTCAGAGGCATTTAATCTGAGTGTGTCGATGATGCATACCATCACGCCCGGAGCCATACCATGCACACATAACCCTGACTAATATGAAATGCATCCTGCAGTTAACACTCTAACAGGTTTACACTCACATCTAACCCCATATTAGCAGTTATTCTGACTAATAAATGTCATTGTTTGCTTAAAAAACGCACAGAGGATGTTATTTCCAATTACCTTAAAGATGTTTAAAGGTCATAACAGGACAATTAAAAAGGACTGAAAAAGTCAGAATTGTTTCAAAGACTTGAAAAGTTTCAGCTGAAGGAACTACAAGACTTCTGGAACAAAGTCTTTTGGACAGATGAGATCAAAGTAAACTTGTACCCAGAATGCACTGCTCCATGATTGAAAAAAAAAACATTTTAGCTCAATCAGCTCCTCCCAGCTGTCAGCACGGGGGTGGAGGGCTCATGATGAGTGGACCACAAACTTCTCTGTAGACCAAAGGGCCCATCTGTCTGACAGCTGAAGACTGGACCAAACTGGATCCGATAGAACCATGACCCAAACCCAGCAGCTGATCTACAACAGAACGGGTCATAAACAAAAGAACTATAAGGTGCTGCAACAGTCCAGAGTCCAGAACCTGAACTTGACTGAAATATATAAATGGACCAATAAATAAATAAATACTCTTGAAATGCACCAAAGGAGAACTTTACCTCATGTTTTATACTTTAAGTGACCTTAAATTTTTACAGCTTAATTTTAAGAGATTATGCAATGTATTAAAATGTAAATCATGTGCTAAAATATGTATTTTAACACATGATTTAAATTTTACAGTATTTTACTATAATTTTTGTTTTTTTATTTTTACTTGCACATGCATTTGTGTCTTAAATATTTTTATTAAACCTTTTTTATTGTTTTTTTTCCCCACAAGTCTTTTTATTTCCATGTGTTGTTTTTACTTTTTCTAATGCATTTCTGTCTGTAAATAGGTGGGCGGTCCTTCTTGGGTCAACTCCTCAACCATTGGTCAACAGACCCTTTTAGCATCCGGCGCTGCTTAGTGACGTCACATGTGCGCCAAGCTATAACATGTGTAGGCAGCAGCTTTGCACCGGTGTACATTTGGTTGTTTTGTGTGATAAGAAGACATTTTGACTCAGATTGGTCAGTGAGCCGCGGACATGAGCGAGCAGACGGCGGTCATCTCGGATGACGGCAGCAGGAAAAGTGAAGCCTCGAGCCGGCAGGAGGAGAAGAGCGCCGGCCTGACGAGTGTGAACAGTACCGGAGGAGAAGACCCGAACCAGATGTCCAAGAGGCAGAAGAAGAAGCTTCTGAAGCAGCAGAAATGGGAGGATGAAAGAGACCTACGAAAGTAAGTTTGTAATCATTTAAATACACAGCTAGTTACTCCAAACTCAAGTCAAATATCAGACTTTTTAAAATGTTGTTGTTGTTGTTAAACTGTTAGGTTCTTTACCCAGTTCTGTTCAGTTTGAGTTAATAAGATAGTTTATGCAGCCACATTTCACAATACAACTCATCTTGGAGAACCAAGAAGCAACAAGTCTAATTATAATAAATTCCATGCAGTTCAGTCCAGTTCAGAACAGATCCTGATCCAGTCCTGAATATAAAACAAGCTAAAACCAAATCCTGTTCTGCTTTCAAATTCAGTGGACAGAGCTTGAAAAAACTAAGATCAACCCCAAGACTGTCCAGATTTGTGATGAATTAAGGAAGTTACAGCCATTATAGTCTTGAAGAAATGCTTAAAAATTTCTGCTGGTTTAATATTAAACAAACTTGGCTTATTATTAATGTAATTAATAAATAACTAAACTGAATGATCTAAAACCACCATGCAATAGAATTAGACACTAATAATAAAATGTTTTGTGTGTGTGTGTGTGTGGGGGGGGCACAGATTTTCCCTCATTTTGCTTTAGAGTAATCTGACGATTTTTATAAATAAATAAAAAACTCAGCTTCAAATTAATTTTCTCTCAGAGCCTGCAGGATGATTAAAAACAATAAAAATAAAATCAAATAAGTCAGATAAAATCAGAAATAAGTCCACCGCTCTTCTCCTCGTCCTCTCCCCCTCCTGCCTGCTCTGTTATCCGCGGCAGACACCCCCGCCCCCACGCGCGCACGCGACAAGCACGGACTTTAAACGTGAAGTTTTATAACATTCACACTGGTGAGGTGGATGCGCCCTGCGCGTGTATCCAAAGCCTGACTTTTGATGTCCTGCTGTTCTTGTGAGGGAGGGGTCTGTGGATCAGGGAGGGGTCTGTGGGTCAGGGAGGGGTCTGTGGGTCAGGGTTGTCTGAGGAGGAAGCAGATGAATGGAGTTGCGCACGGGAACTTTTATTTAAGTTTTAAGTTTTTTTATTTCAAGGACCTCATGGCTCAGCAGCAGCAGAAGCATAAATATTACTGTTAAGAAAGCTGATGATAAAGTTGAATAAAAATCTAAGTCTGATTCTGAAGGTAAATTAAATATCTGACAGTGATCATTACACAGTGGGGCTCTAATTCCTCTCTTCACCATCTGTGTCGCAGTTTCACGTCTCCAAAATGAGCGTACGCATGGGTCAGAGCTGGCGTGAGGCACCGCACATTTTCACGTCAAGTTTGGATTTTATAAATCACAACCTTGGCGTGAAAAGTGGCGTACGCAAGTTTCTGGGCTCAAATTGTGCGTACGCAAGTTTTATAACTCTGACCCCTGATCTTGAGAGCGACTGCCTATCGGAAGAGACGCGCAATGGTTTGTATGATTGTTTGGGGGCAACGGAAAGAAAAGTAAATGATGAGACAGGTTCTGAATCTTTAAAGTTTAGGTTGTTCAGCAGCTGCCTTCTTTCTTCAGGCAGAGAAGAAAGGAGCGGAAGCTGCAGCGCCGCCAGCAGAGGCAGAGTGACCAGCAGCAGCAGGAGGGACGAGACGGTCAGAGCAGCAGGAAACGCCCACGCCGAGACGTGACGCCCGTCTCTCTGAGGCTGGTGGTGGACTGCAGCTTCGACAGCCTCATGCTTCTCAAGGTACCCTGCTGGAAACACGTTTTTAAGTAATCGGCCTGAAGGAMTGGGTTTTGTTGTTATTATTATTCCTTTTTATTTCAAACTTTATTCATTCCATAAAAAACAAAATTCTATGTACAATTAAAAAAAAAAAAGAATACAAATGAAATGAAATGAAAGGTGGCAGAGAGAAGAAAAAATCTTATATCTGCCCCTTTTTTCTCAAGTATAAATTCAAACTATAATAATCTTCAGTTAACAAAACAAAACACTGAATCTTTCCAGAACAAAAAATTGAATGTCTTCATATCAAACCATTTCATATTTTTTAAACAATCTAATCTTTAACTTGCTCTTAAACATATACATTGATGTGGCACTTTTGACATCATCTTCCAAATTATTCCATAATCTGACTCCTTGGATTGAGGTGCACCGTTCTTTCAGACATGTTCTAAACTTAGGTTTCCTGAACATCTCTATTCCCTTTAGATTATAACAGCTCTCTCTCTCTTTGTAAAGTTTTGCTGAATGTTTATCTGTATTGTGTTTAGGTGAGCCTTATACATAACTAACAAAATATTGTAATAAACCAAATCATAAAATTTCATTAATTTGAGTTTACTGAATAATATATTAGAAGAATAATGGTGGGGTTTTTTTTTCGAGTAATTACTCTTATAGCCCTTTTTTGCAAAATAAAAACAGGATGTGTAATTCATGCTTTCCCCATACCTCAACACAATAGACCAAGTGTGGAACAATTAATGTAGTATATAACACATACAGAGCTTTGTCATTAAACAAGGCCCTTACATTGTAAAGCAATGCAATAGATTTAGCTAGTTTTATTCTTAAATAATTTATATAAGGTTTCCATGTCAGCTTCTCATCAATAATAACACCCAAAACTAGGCCTGTCACGATAACAAATTTTGCTGGGCGATTAATTGTCTCAAAATTTATTGCGATAAACGATAATATTGCCTGGTGACCGTTTTACACCTAATAATTATATAAGCATAATATGTAAGTGTAATAAATCAATAAACTTTCATTTTTAAAAGAATGTTTAACAAAGTGGACTCTCAGTCTCTAACAGAACAACAAAATGTAAATTAAACACCACACACAACTAAGACAGTAAATAAACAATATTAA